TCACAGTGTGAACGGTGCTGTGCGTTGTTGACATCCCCCATTGATGGACACCCAGGTTAGTTCACCACAGACCTCCTCAAACTGAATGCTCGWGGGTGTGGCTTTGAGCTGTAGGTCTCAGGACTCACACTTAAGAAAGTTCCACCAAACAGAGCTTTAATATAGAGTCGCACTTCACTTACAGAGTGCAGGGCCAAGGCCGTAAAAAACACCACGATTATTCAGATTTTTTCCAAGACTTTTGGCGGGGAAGAAAAAAAATATTGGGGAAATGTTGATGAAGAGTATTTCCTAAGAGGGTCAGTGACATCAGTGCTCTCTCCCTGTGGATTCCGCCCTGTCCTAGGTCACTTTCACTGGGATGCGGAGTTCTTTGCTCTGACTGAGGGAAGGAGCTGGGTTCTGTCCTCCACCCTGCTCCCGTGGTCCCCAGCACAGCCTGCTCTCTGTCCCCAGGGTATCCTTCGCCTGTGCCTCTAGCAGACTTCCGCCAGGGGGTGGGGGGAAGGTTGCTATTTCTGCTTTGCGTGAAGCGTTTCTCGGGGACCATCTGGGCTGGCCGGATTTCAGGAAAGATAGTAAAGCAACGTTTATCAAGAAACATCCAAGTGAGTCTGGCCAAGTGTGGTCTAGAGGGATCGGCTTCCTCCAAACGAACACAGAGCAGCCCTCTCCCCGCTGCTGGGGGGCAGGGGGTGGGGACAGGAGCCGGCTTTGAAGAGCTTCAGGAGGGGCAGGCCTTGGGATGGGAGGCCGCAGCCACTGTCCACTGCTCAGGACACAGCGGTTTCAGGAGCCAAAACTCTGGAGAGGTGGATGCCACCAGTTTCAGATTTCCTTCCCCTGGCAGTTTTAACCCCTTTGGTAGATGGTAGAATCAGGCGGACTGAAGAAGGGCCTAGAGGGAAAGGGGGAGGGGGAGGGGGAGGGGAGGGGGAGGGGAGGGTCGAGGGTCCCTCCCTAGGCCGGTTGACTTCAGCAGAAGTCTAAAGGCATCAGCCGTGACATTGACAGCTCCAGTCTAGGGCCCCGTATGGTCCTGGCAGAGAGCCCTCGGAAACTGCTGGAAAGCCCTGACCTTACAATAGAAGGTATTTTCCCAGTGATTGTCTTTCTGGCGCCAGTCCYTAAGCCAAGGTGGGTGTGGGTTGGGGTGGGGGGAGCTGTCTCCACCTGCCCGAGGGTTGCCAGTCGAGGCGACAGACAGGTTTCTGGCCCTGTCGGTGTCTCAGATCCGGTTTTCATGCCGCTCCCTGGGGGGGGCGGGGATAGAAGTGTCATTCCCAGACKAGAAACTGGCACCTGCTCTTTTCCCTGGAAGGATCAAGAAAGGAGGGAAAATAACAGCTGGGGGGCTGTTCCTCCCGGGGGAGACKCGCTGGGATCTTGAATCTCACGCTCCAGGGCCGCATTGCTCCACGTGGGTGCTCTGTGGACCCGCAGCGTCAGGCTCGCAGGAGACCTGTCAGGAAGGCAGAGGAGCAGACCCCACCTCTGGAGGCTGCGGGTATCTGTGGGGGTGGGTCCTTGGGGGACCCTGAGGCAGGCCGAGGTTTGAGACGGACTCTTCTGGAAGGGTTCCAGTGGGGAGGTCAGAGCCGTTGGTTGTTGAAGGAAAAACACAGGCGATTCTGTTTGGGACCCATCCATTTGGAAATGGGTCGGTCTTCACAATCAAAATAGAGAAATGGAGTAAAATGATACTAGCCACATGAAACAGCAGTAC